AATTGTTTTCTCCATCACTTAGAAACTCAGTTTCTAAATTACTTTGACGCATAGAAACTCCTATTGTTAGACCTGCTCTTAGACCTCCTTGAGAGCAGCCAGGCAAATTTTGATACAATGTTAGTTTTAGTATTAACCACGGCAGAAAACTAGGGTGTATAGTGGTATCTAAAACGCTCCTCAAACTAGGGAGTTCTAGGAACTTCACAAGATCCTTAAAAAATCAGAATTGTCAAGTTCAAGAGAGCACTCAATCCCACGCCCGCACTGTTTCTAGGGTAAAAGTCTTTGGGAGTTAAGTGGGTGGAAAGTAAGGAAGAGAGTGTCTCTGGACTAAGTTCCTCAGATACTTAGTTTTTAAAAATTGGAGAGCGTTTTTCTGCAATATAATTCACCTTCTAAGGTGCCTTTGGAGCCCCTTCAGTTAGCTTGGCCTCTGTAGACTGAGATAGGTTATAGAACATTTCACAAATTTTTACGAAGGTCTTTAGTAGGCTGACAGAGGAAAGACAGGATAAAAGTATAAATAATATTAATTATATGTAAAGTTATATATATGTAAACATATATAATTATATATGTATATAATTTAATAATTTCCCCATTCTTATTCAGTATGAACGTGATTGGTCAGGGCACCCAGAGATTGTGGTGCCCCCTGGTGGTCATCGAATTATCACAGATATTGACACCTAAAAATCCACTAGGTTTGAAGAGCTAAAAAACTGCAAGATGAGAAATCATGAAAGCATGTAGAAGTAATTTGCATAATTTAAGCTAGTTCTTCCTATCAGTGCTGGTGATTTGCCAAGCCAAATCAAATTGGCAAAATCAAATTTTAAAAAAATTCTGAAAAGTATTGGACATGTGCTAAGTGATTTTTAATATAACATGCAACATTTTCTATTAGTAGTTCTTTTACTATTAGCCAAATAATAAACTTCATTTTACTTATCACTTTTGAATATTTTAAGTAATTAGAAAATTTCAGATTGACAATTTAGCAACATTCAACTGCACTCTTGTAATTTTGCTATACATTGTATTTTTATTTGTTAACCTGTCTTAAATTAACTCAGTAATTGTAGTTGAAGAATTATAATTGTAATCTTCTGAACATTACAACTTATCTGACCTCATAAAAGTGAATGAACTTCTATAAAGGCACAAAATATAGTGTTGACTTATGATTTAATTTCTGACCTCTGCCTTCCTATATGGCCAGCTAAATATAAGTTTAGAAGAATAAATTAAATTATTACTTTTTAAAAATGAGCTTAACTTATGTATACTTTTTACATTGGATTGCAAATAAATATTTTATATACACTACATAAATCACATCAATGTAAATATATGTGATTTTTCTGCACAGTAGAAATATTGTTTACATTTTGACTGAAATCACAAATAGAGAACCCAATTTTCTGTAATATCTATTAACTGAGACATAACATTTCTTTTCTGTTTATAATCAGTTTCTTCTGCACTGTACCTTTTCTAATTCAGTTTAAATTACCCCCTTTTCTGTGATGAACTTCTATTTTCACATTTACCAGCTGTGAATGCATTTAGACAGTAAATGCAAAAGCAGTAGGTTCAGAAACAGCCCTTTGATTTCATTGTTGCTGTTAACTATTTAGTTTGGCACCTTAGATTTGTAACATACTAAAGTGTTAGGTTGTTCCCCTACATTCTAAAGGCTCCTTTACTACATTCACCGTACACACACACACACACACACACACACACACACACACAAAGGCTTTTATTTGAAAATTCATGGAACTTATTTCCTGAAGTCTTTATAATTTACTACTAAGTAATTATTTCTCTCTTAAAATCACAAAATGTCTCCCCGAGATAAACAGTGAGATAAATGATAGTACTGAAGCAAATTAAAATAACATCTGTATCCTTATTTGATGTGTGTCTTGTATTTATACATTTATTTTCCTATATGTACAGTTATGTGTGATTATTAGTAATAAGATAAAATAACATGATACATAAAAATTGGGTATACTATCTTTGAATCTGAAAGTAGGAAAGTAGGCATTTTTCATCTTTCTACTATATATTAAGGATAGATGTTTCAAAAGAGGGGATATAAATGGAAATATTAAAGTTTCAATCTCTTTTTTCCATGTATTTAAAATTAGCTAAATATATGTAGGCTACTTCATCAATTGTATTATACAATGAATACGTAAAAATTAAGAAATAGTTTTCATAATCTCTGCTTTGGCTCACATGTGTTGGCTATATACACCATTTGGTATTGCTCAGGAAAATGACTTCTTGTCTAACTTATTTTATATACACACACACATTTATAGTGCTTCTTACTATTTGCTTTAGGGGTAATTTGCAAAAATCATAAATATGAAGCCAAAGTAAACCATTTTTAAAAGTTATATAAAGTAATTAACCATTAAATGTTATTTTAAAATATGAAAGTTTTATAAACTGATTATTTTTTATTTCAATGCCTTCATGTACAAATAGGTTTATATGCTTTGCTACTAGTCAAATATAGTCTAATACCAATTTATATACTAAAATATATGCTGTACAGTAGTGTATAATGAACATTCTCCTCTTGGCTAAACCATTCACTTTTACTTAAATGCCATGACTTCTTTATCAATATACCTAGATAGCAAAGAAGAAAAACAAGGAGGGGGAGGGGGAGAGGAGGAGTGGGGGAGAAAACAAGAGAAGGTTGGTAAACTTAAAATGAGTATCACTGTGCAACTCTGCAGAGAAAACTGTCAGCAGCCTGGCACATGTGCATTTAATGTGAAGCCTCTTGTCTCTAAAAATAAAAGCGAGGCTGCACATGCCCCTGTGTCTGACAGAGAGAAGGGACACAATGAGGCAGCTCCCCATACCACCTACACTCTGCAGAGTGAAGGGTGTTACTTCTTTGGTTTCCTGGTTTAATGGAAAGGTATTTGTATTCACATCACTGAGTATTAGTCATTCAATAGATGAAAGGAATATTTTAAACTTTAAAGGCTACCTTGGTGTCATTTGAAGAAGTGGGGATGAGACCCTGGGGAAAGTGTTGAAATCCTGCAGAATTATTTTAACTATTACAAGTGGTTTCATATTTGTGAGTTTGTGGTTCTGAGATTAATAGTTTTATAGCCCGAGTGTGGGCATTTATGTTTTTAATTCTAATGTTGTACCTTACAGTTTTTACTCTTAAAGCATCTGTTTGTGTAACTACCACTCGATCTTCTCTGTAACAAGTGTACTTTACTTTTTTTTTTTTGGTGTCTTTTCAAGGTTAATCTATTGAGCAGTATTTATTTTCTTTGTGTCCTTTAAAAGAGACTTAGGATGCTTTTATATATAATTTCTAAAATATTTAATAGGTGTAATGCCTAGGAAAAAGTAGCATTTAAGGAAAAACAAAACAAAACCCTACTGAGCCAAAGAGAGGTTAGAGGCGAAGGAAATTTCATTTCTTTCTCGTTTGCAATTGCATTAGGCAAATAAAAACTATAGGAGACAATTTACCATAACATAAAAATTAAAAATCTGAGGATCTGTCATCTCTGAGAAGTCTGTTAAAAATACCAGAAATAACTCATTTTTCTTTATGTTTCCAGCTAGAAAGACAGGAAAAGTTTGGAGTCTTAGGCGAGATCAAACTTTGTGCCTATCATAAATAAAGTATAAACAACAGATTTTCTTCAAAAGGAAGAGATACAGAACAAGAAGAAAATGAAGTACATCTTAAACGTGATCAACTTACTTTATGTGACCTTTGAAATGGATGATTTGACAATTAATGTTTTAAAGCTCTTCCTCTCATTATATTACTTACCTCTGGTGTTGCAAAGAGTCCAAAACTGCCTAAGGGTAAACTTATTTCTCTTTACACAGTCGTCCGCGACATTTTAGTTGGATGAATTGAAGTGGAGATGTTGATTACACTTTTTATTGTTTCCCTTGGAGAGATAATTATTGAACAATTATAGGAAAGTAGTTGCTATTTGCGAAAGACGTTTTGCTTTATGAATTTAATGCGAAATAGTATTCTTTAAAATTAATCTATGCAGCGAAATGGGAAAGGATCAAAGTGGGGAAATTCAAAGAAAACCTCAGAAAATGATAAACGTAAAAAAAAAAAAAAGAAAGATACGGAACCGTCTGAAGGTTCTCTCTTAATGTTCAACTTCACCCAACAAACTACAGTGAAAAGATAGGGCGGGGTGAGAGAGACACGTAAAACAAAAGACTTCCTTTCTCCACTCCCTTTTCCTCTGTTTCTTTTGCCAGAGCTTGTTGCAAACTCTTGGAAACGCTGTTTGAACATAATGCATGTGGTTGCTTTTATTCTTCAGGGACTGTGCTGGGTGGTGCCTAGAGCTGACTGCTTTTGGAGTAACAAAAAGAGAAGTAGCAGCCCTTCAAGAACGGAAAAGAACCAAGTTCTCCGACTCGCGGAGGTTGTAACAACAAAAAAAGTAAAAGGCACTTTACTTAAAGGCACAGCTCATTTCGCTGTCGGGGCAGCGTGCTTGGTGGCTGGGACTCCGCTGGCATTGCCTCTGGTTTCTACACGATGTAACGGAGTAACGCTGCACAGGGGACTGTAAATTGGGAGCGTTATTCTCCAATTGATTCGGCTGCACGAGAGCCGGGGCTGCTAAAAGCGGAGCGGCCACCGCAGCGCGCACCTCGGCTGCCATCCACGTCCTTCCTCCCCGAGCATCCAGCACGAGCCCGAGCCCAGAACCTGGAGGGAATCCTGGACCCGCAACCTGACTCCGCTCGCCGCCCATTGGCCCGCTCCCCGGGCCCCGCCCCCGCGGCAGGAGAGGCCGTTTCGCCGGGACCCGCCCCTCGGCCCTGGGAATCGCTGCCTGGCAGGCCGGCTGCGCCTGCCACTCAGCCCGAGTGGCGGAGGCTCTGGGCTCGGAGCCCCGCCCCCTCCCCCCTAATTGATATTATTGGAGTGTGGAGCAANATTATTGGAGTGTGGAGCAAGCGGCGGGTCTGCAGTCGGAGACTTGCAGGCAGTGAACGCGGTGCGAACTAACAGGAGGGGGGAAATTTTTAAAAAGCTAAACGTGGAGCCGCCGCCGGGAGATCGAGAAGGGGAATCGATGCAAGGAGAGCGATAAAAAAAGAACCCACTTCGGAGCAAACAGCATTTAAAAAGCTGCGACTCAACTGAAACCTAAAATAAAACCTGCTCATGCACCATGGTTTTTCAAACTCGGCACCCTTCGTGGATTATTTTATGCTACATCTGGCTGCTCCGTTTTGCACACACCGGGGAGGCGCAGGCTGCAAAGGAAGGTAAGGTGATGGAAAAGCAAAGTTTGTTCTGACTTATTTATTTAGCTGTCTACCTGCGCGAGCTTGCTAGTCCGCCGGGCTGCCGACCGCGCCTCCGGCGCGGGGCGATCCTCCCCCGCTAGCTCCCCGCCCCCTCACCGCTCCGGCTGCCCCTGG